ATAAAGCCTGTGGTAAATATTACATTTTGTTTCACATTTTAGGTTTAAGCTTACCTTTAACAAATCTTAAAAACATGGCAATTTTCCTTATGATAAGGTTACATATGGCATTAGCTGGCCCACTACCGTTACAGATGTCTGAAAAATGAAGAAAAATCAGTAGTTACACACAATACTTTTCCATGTTCTTTTTTTCTCGTCAGCTAACGTTTTTTTAAATCAATTCAATAAGACAGGCTTGTGTTTCTTACCTTTCGAAAATTTGTTTTCAATCTGTATATTTTTGTTTCTGTGTATTTTTTGGGCACTGGATGCGAATTTGAGGTCCAATTGTTTCAAGTATGGATTCTTTACAAAAAGGTTTCCTTTTTTTTCAGTTAAATGGTAGTTGGGAGGCGGACATGTGGTAAAACAGGAAAACTGTACTGCTTTTTAACTTTTGCGTTTTGAATTTTTCAAGCGTGGAGCTTTTCATGAACAACGTTGTAGATCTAATATGCTTAACGTAGTTAATACAACATAAGCATAAAAATTATTTTAAGATTAAAGCGAGCTGCATTTTTTTTTAGATTTTACAAAAATTATACTCATTTCAGAAAAATATTTATGTGCCTCGCCTGTATTCCCGTTTTATAAGTCACTTAATTATTGATAAATCAAAAAACACCCATCCGAGATAACGGACAAACACACAAATAAGTAAGCAAAAATCGGAGAACTTCAACTCCGATCAAGGTCGGGCGTTTACTAAACTAGGATGGCATTAACTCCGGCCCAGCACATATTTATCTGACGTTGGTTAATATTTATTTAGTCCACGAACACATTCAACTCATTTTGGAATAGAAAATAAGGCAGACATTATTTAAATAATAATAAAAAAATATTACTTTTAAACCCGGTTTACAGAACCTCAATTAAATATTTAATTGCGATTTAATTTTTAACCCCGTGTTAAAGTACCATGTGACCGACTCTACGCCAATCAGACGTCGTTAGTGGCCTTGTTAAATGCGCGATCAACTTAATCTCAGTTAAAATATTGTATAAACTGCCCATTAGTGTTCAAGTAGCTACAAAATTTTACAGGTCGTGCAAACTCGAAGCAGCAAGTTATTATATTATATAACATAATATTATTGTATTTATATGAATCAACTTTTACAAAGTCGTATCTAGAAACGCTGTTTTCATTACATTGCACAATTTTTTGTTATATGAAGTTGCCGTTAGGTGTCTAACTTCTTTACCTACTACATGTTTCCGGTATGGATCTAATTAGTGTAGTTAAAATGCATGCAAGTTTACAATTGCTGTTTTTTATCTGACTGGACGGAGAGTCAAACGAAGGATTAAGGCACTCCAGGTACGAGACATGACCCAAGTTGATGAGCACTCGCAAAAATAATAATAATTGTAAAGTGACTTTTAGATACAAGAAAAATCGGCTAGCCAAATTAAAACATTGGGAAATCTCTGCTTACCCGTATTCGTCGTGTTTTGTGCCGCTGAATATGTGATTGAAGCTGAAACAATTGGAATAAATTGATAAGAACAAGGATTATATTTTATTTACTTATCGATAACACTACGATGAAAACAGCAGCATAGGTAGCAGTAGCAAATTTTAAATTTAACATCCTTGATATTTTTTAATGAACAGAGCACTGTTACAAATAGATGTATCTTGGAGCAAGTTATGAAAAGGAATGATTCGAAAAATTGCATTAGCGTAACGAAGTAAACTCTATCGCTAAAAAATGTTGCCAACAAAACGCATTATAAATTAAGTAGATAATGGAATGAGTTTCTTTTCTACTACAAAGTGTGTCCGTAAAGTAAAGGAAATAACGACATGTATAATAAAAACAACAAAACGAAAATTCCGAAAACACCGCCAAAATTATTAATCATTTTGGCATTTACATGAATAGGACATTCTACTTTAAGTTCGAACTATAAATTTGATGGATTATCTCAAATAATATAAACTAAATGTCTTTAAAATTTGTATGACCTCAATGGTATTTATTTATCTGTTCTAGAAAGTGTATGACGCCATACAAAAGTTATACAATTAGTCTTTTTAAAAGTACTTAAAACATGAAATAATTAGTTTGAAAAACATTCTTTGAGATGTTAGGTGTTGCTTCTAATTCCGTAATAGTGTCTCTATTTTTACTCCCCTAGCGTAAGTCAAGGAAATGTTGTACAGTTCCGGACCAAATTGTAGCGAATCAAACCATAATTTATCAATCTGATTAGGCAGATAAACTAACTAACTAACAAACCGATTCTGATTAATTCTGATAGAAATTCTCGTGCTAATTTTCAAAGTAATTCTGTTATGTGTTAAACAGCCCAGGGGCCAGGGGTTATCATACAAGAATGTCAAAATTAGATTTGACAATTTTTTAAAAGTTTATTGAAGGTAGTTCAGGTACGAGGGAAATTCTGTCTATAACATTAGGCCAATTTTTAGAGTTACTTATACAGGGTGCCTCAAAAAAAATCTATGAATGAGGCAATTTATTCAGAATTATACACGGATACCTATTCCAAATTATATCTATATGGTCAAATAGATTTATTTTGGCGATTACCTCAAAAATTTTCATTTACTTTCTTTATCGGAGACATATACACAGAAACCAAAATGTTGACAACGTCATAAAATCTTTTTGAAAGTTTGCTATAAATGCAGTTGTGTTTGGTAATATATTTTACTTTTTTTTTTAATTATTATGCAATTTTCTTTAAACTCCGATTATAAAATAACTTTGGGCTTAATGTTACGAAAATGTCTTTATCTAGATCAAAAAATTGCTGACTAAATCATTATTAACACTCTTATTATAAAAAAAAAACTAATGGGTAAAGGATCAAAAATAGATCTGCAAAAATAACTTTAGAGATTGTTCACAAATTATTTTACTTTACTATTTACCAAAAAAAGAAAAATTTTGCTCCTATTTATTTTCACAAGCTATTTAAACTGTATTGATGTTCCTCAAATTAAATGCATTCTTTCACATGTGATTCTTTTGTTAGAGAAGATATTGTTATTAAGTTATTACTGTAGTATTTAGAGCACATATTACTATCTACTAAGTACAATTTGTCGGTTTTGTAACTATATATCTCACAGATTCAAAACTAAAAATCCTTGAAATTTCTGTCAATATTTAACATGTTTTTTGGTGAAGCAAAGTACTCACTGAAAAAAGATACCTTGAAAGAAGTCATTAAAATTTCTGGTATATACTTAATATTGTGTTATCGTCGCCAGTACTCATTTATTATACATATACGATAATAATAAAAAGGTTTACATGCAAAACTGCAATTAATCAATTATTTATGTTCCTACTGATAAGGTATCGCAGTGAAGAGAAAATGTATGTGAATTCACCTATAACTAAAACTATTCATAATAAAATGACGAAATTTTCAAAAGTTGTAATAGTCACAGTTATCAGTAAAAGCGAATTTATTTAAATTATTTTGGGCAATTTTAGCTTCTATGAACATCTGGATACGAACTATATCTTCTTCAATGTGCTTACTGTTTTTCGTGTGTATGTAAAAATTCAGTTGCTTTAAGAACAATGCCACAAACTGTTGGTTACTGGGAGTGTTGGTCATCTGCGCGCGACGGTCTGTTTTCCCCCTGTGGCAGCTAATTCCCCAAAAAGGTCATAGGAAAATTGCGCGCAAATTGTAGAAAAAAAAAAACGAAAAAACTCGAAAACTGCCCTAGTCTTTGGTGTCTCTGATTTCTATCAAAGACGCTGTATTAAGATAAATTTCTGTTCATATGAATATGTATTATATACACAGGGTGAGTATTATAATAACGGGACCCTGACCAAATTTCAATGCAACACAAAATACATAACTCTGCTAGTAAGAAGAGTACCTACGTTGATCCTAAAAACGTATGTGTTTATTTTAGAATCTAGCAAAGTCTAGTATAAAAATCTTTCTTTTCATGTTTTCTCTAAACTTGAATATATTGCCATCATTTGGTCTCCATGTTACATTTGATACTAGTTAATATTGAGAAAATCCAGTTTCGTTTCTTAAAATGTCTGTCATTCTAGACTAATGGCCGTGGTACTGATTATAAATTATTATTATTAAATAAATCGCTTAGAATTATTTCATGAACAGTATAGTAAGTGTAGGTACAGAGTCAAAAGGTGTTTAATATGAATCAATAACATCTATTTTGAAGTACAGTAACATTTTCTATCGTATGTACAAACTTTTAGTGAAAAAATTAAAAATTATGTCAAAATCTAAACTTAACAAATAAATCACCCAATCAATCTAGTGCATAAAAATAGACAAATATAAGATATTATGTACACGCAATCTTATTTATCTTTTTTTATAAGTAGATATAGTTAAGCTCTAAACACGTTATGTAAAAGTGTTAATATTTAACCAAAATAGTGCGTATGATAGCCCAGATTAAAGCTTAATATCCTAACATACAAATCAACAACCTCAACAACCGTAATATACAAGGGGAACTAGTAAAAATAATACCAGACGTTAAATTTATTAAATGTATCTTACTAATGAAAAGTCGATTCTCTGCATCCTGTTATGTGCTCATAATATTTCTCTTCATAAAAATAACATTTGTTATGTGTCGATCAAAATATAATTTTATAAAGAAATGTTATGCCTAGTAGTTATACATGTAAATCACCGAGGATTATTTATATTTGAACGTTGCTGGTATGAAGAAAACTATAAATAATAACAGTAAATTTTAAATTTAAATTGTTCTTACGCCAATTTATCGAACGAAACTGTAATATTCTAGGACCGAGAACACTCGGTTCATATATGGGTTTTTAACTGATATGTATATTCTTCACTCAAAAAGTACCTTGGCTAGGGTTAAGAAAATGCAAAAAGATAAAATTAAAAAAAATATATCAAATGAAGTTAATTCAAATTAACGATTCTTCTTGATCTATGCAATGTCTGAGGTATAATTGAATTACTTGCGTCGTTAACTGAGTCCTGATTATCACAAACATAAAATCACACATCATATGCATTGTTATGTTTTGACTATCTATTGTGTAATCATCAGAGCCGGACCCGTGAGGGTACCTTCAAGTCCCCCCCCTCGTGTCTGAATTAATACTACGTAAGTTAACAATTGTTTTCTCAATATTTTCTTCCGTAAAACTGAATATGCGTGCATTTGAAGGAAAAACTAGTCCTTTTGGTACCGTACAGTTAGTCACCTTAAGGTTAATGGCTCCGACGCGAGGTTCACGTGCAGTTATATATACTTAGTTATTTGTTCTTAGTAGTAGAATATTCAAGAACTTAATACACACAAAATAGAATAAGACGTTTTAAGTACCTGAAACAAACGATATAATTTGCAAGCACATTTTAAACGGTCGAATAATATTCAGAAATATTGAAACAACTCTTAGGAGGCAAATGTCTTGGACACATAATATCTTAAAAAACATAATTTATTGGAAACCTATATCTCGTATTCGTTCACAATGTTCAAAATATTGCCAGTTATTAAAAGTTATTTCATTTTTACATCATAATTTTAACTCACCGAAATAAAGAATCTGTAGGAAAGTATTCCAAAAGGACCAGCTTTTAAAGTACAACTTTTTTGCGATCTTGTTAACATAACAAGTAAACATTTTTGAAGGACGATATCTGCTTCGTACCACTTTGAAGTCCACAATGCATCAGATACCGATTCACTCTACAAGATTAATGGTGTCAAATGAATTAGAACGATAGAAAAAGTACACCTATCTTTTGGTTTTACTTACAGCGTTAATAACACGTTGTCCCGCTACACATACAACAAATATTGCTGTAATCCATGACATAAAATGACAAAATCCTGTAAACGCATTGTGTCCCTGAAAAACAGTCTTCAGTGTCGTATAACTCATTCCAAGCAACTTAATTACGTCTATAATTTGTTTTTCCAGGCATGCACAAACAGCACCTGTTAAAGCAAAGTGGCCAAACATAACTGATTTAAAAGTTGTATCAATTTTCTCCATTAAACTTTAAACATATTATTAACGTTGGGTGCGATTCTTCACAAATTAGTACTTACTTCAAAATTTCGTTGTGGTATGCTACACACTTTTCGAATCTTTTATACGACGTTTTGGGGTTGTTGCTGTCAAAACATGACACTATTAAACTCTTTAAATGATCTATCCTTAAAGTCGCATGATAAGATATTTCTAGAACATGGTAAGAAATCTGGGAGCAGTTTTTACTATGAATAAGAGCGAACAAAAATCCATAAAGAACAAATAAATGAAAAACTGGAAAATAATCCAGATCGAACCAGCTCCATACAGGGGTTCCTAAGCCACAGTAATATCTGGTTAAGCCTAATTCTGCAAGAGTAGTTTTGCATTCTGATTTTTTTACAATTCTCATAATTTTATACGCAACTATAGTTGCAAACTCGCAGATAGTTAGCACTTTTGCAAACAAATTCAGTTTTCTGTTAAGGTCATCAAACCCAGGGGGTTTCCCAAAATTTTTAAATGTTGATAATTGCTGCAAAATTTCCGCTATGTTGTGTTGTTGTCTTAAATATGCAAACACCATGTAGTATATTCCATACGAACTGACAGCAATGGCGATATCTTCAACATCCAGATATTCATGACCTAGAATATATTAACAAAGTGTTATTTTTGAACATCAAAATACATGGAAGTTTTGTTCTAGTTGACATGCAGTTTTTTATTTAAATTATCAAAACTGTAAATCACTTGCCTCTTATAACAAAAAATAGAGTAATGGCTATTAATGTATTAAGTAATACAGTTATTAGGCAGTATGCAATTATCTGAAGTTTGTATCCTATTCGAGGATTTAATTCCGTCTTTTCATTTGGCCATATCAAACTCCACTTAAATACTTTTCGACTAATACTACAAATTTGTATTTTATTTTCATCTCCACTGTTATTAGTTGGCACTTTCATTTCGATACAACATAAACACCTCAATATTGTGTTTTCCTTTTACTTCTATGGTTGTTCACAGTTTACTAATTATTTTTATTTAAAGATAGTGTTGATATTAATTAACGTATATACTTCTGTAATAGTTGGAGCACATGTATGAAAAGACAAATTTCCAGATTCAGAATACTTAAGAGTTAAATTAACACACGTGGCCTGGTTTCTAATACGTCATATTTCAACATAAACTAGTGATTGGTATTTAGTTTTTCTTTACGCGTTTAAAGTAACGGAATAAAAGTTTAACTAAACATTTCAATATTGTATGATATTCTGTCGTTAATTGCAACTGCTACCGTCACGCACCTATTGATTATTAAATATTCAACGTAACGAAGCTCTAATTAAGAGCAAATAATTAGTGATCATAAAATTATTGAATCTAAAATTCATTTGTTTGGGGGACTTTTTTTCTAAGAGTTCGATCTGTTGAAAGAACATTAGATGTTTTTTAGCTTCTAAAATGTCGTAATGTGAAACAAAGTTCTAGCATTTATTTTTCATTAAACTGCCCTTGAATTTGTGTCAGTGTTAACACAAATCTGTAGCAAACACAAGACTGGAGTGACTACCAAGGACTAAATATATCAAAATTTACACTAAAGAATATATATGTTTCACAAGACTATATTTTTCAAAAACATACAGGTAAAATAATTTATAAATGTCTGATCATATTTTCTAGAAAAGAAAACAACAAAATACAACTTTTTTGTGGGAAGTAAAATAAACAAGAGACTGAAATAAAATCAAATTTAAAACATTAATAACAGAACTGAAAAATGGACAACAAGTCACTAACTTGTCCCACTCATGCAATAACGCCTGGTTCAGCTAAAACACGGTGTGAAACTCGCCCTCGTTGCGCCTAATCCTTCTTTCTTCATGCTTTATTGGATTTGGGTCTGGACTTCTGGTCGGAACATGAAAATTCGAATTCAAGAACACATTCTGTTTGAAAATTCCCAATTTCTGTCCAAAAAGCACTGTTTATTGCAGGGTATTAGAGATAGAGAATCTACTAAATATATATGTTGCAAATTTCTTACCACGGTGCACAGTACCTTCTCAGTTCGTTGAATCACAAAATGTTGTTTTGATCAGAAGCAAAACGATTAGACACTGACAATGTGATACACTCTTCAAATCTTACGTTGTGGACAACGACAGTACTTAAGTACAGAATGGTGTTCAAGCTTAACTGCAAATTGTGACATAATCTCATCAAATGTAAATCAATATGATTATTCCGTATTTTTCTGTTTTAGCAGAAACGCTGGTTGCAACTTGTAAAAAGTATTTAACCGTATAATATTTCTTCTTAAATACAAGTTACTGTCAGTGTCAGTGTCATCAACAAAATTTCGAAGAAACTATTTCGAGCACCACACCATTGTTTGAAAATTTAACTTAGGTAATCTATAATTTATGTTAAAGTTTTTGAAACTAAATCACTAAATTAGAATGATAAAAACAGTAATCACTATAGCTATTTCATAATATAAAATAAGAAAGACACAGAGAGAAAATGTTCGTGTCACAACACTTTTCTAAAGTATTTATATTTAGGGACTCTAGTTTAGACGACTAGAGTTCACTAATTGATAGTAAAAATGCTTTGATTGGGAACTTTGAAAAAGCCTTTGATCGGGCGCCTTATGATCATTTAATTTCTAAATTATTACGTTTAATAGTTTAATAAGTTTTACGTCAAATAGGCAATTCAATATCCTGCGAATGAGCCAGCGGGTGGTTGGTTATGTCTGGTATCCCGCAGAGTTCGGTATTAGGACCTTTGTCTTTCAAGGTCTATATATAGAACTTACCTCATTGTATTTCGTCAAATACCGCTTTCTTTTCTGATGGTTGTAAATTGTATGCCAATTCTATTTTATATTATCGTGTACTGCAAACGGATTTACATACTGTTTGTCCTTGGTGCATATATTGGCTGATTTCGTCGAACAATAGTAAATATAAAGTATAACACTTGGGTACTAACAAACCAAAAAATCATCGGTACGATAGATAATGAACCCATTAAGGTAGTTGAGAAAAATAATGATTTAGGTGTCATCGTGACATCTATATTCTACGTTATGCGAATACTGCATCATATAGGTATATGTTATTTTATACCTTCAAACACCTTTCAAATAATACTTTTCTAGAAATATACAAATAGTAGGTATACAGAGTGCCGCATGCAAGTCTAGACATCGGGAATTAACATGGCAAACTGGTTTTTATTTTATAATTTAAGCAATCCAGCAATATTGTTTTCAGATTTCAATTCAAATGCTAATCAACATGCGTAGGAATTTTGAAGATCGGCTTACTTATTGTACAGCTGCTGAAAGCAGTTTTTTTGAACAATTCTTAAAAATAGTGAAATACTTCTCCAGATTCGTACAATATTTCATTACTTCATTCATCAACAATTGTTAAGTTTTGTTATTTGTAGTTATCTAAATGGTTCATTAAAACGTTCTCTTCAAAAGTGCCAGCTGTTTTGATGGTAAATCTTATCATCACACAATAAGAAAACCGGGCCCTCGCTTTTTCATCTAATCGCAGTAGAACATGGCATTTTAATAAGATTTTAGTAATAAAGACTCGATCAACACCAGCAACATAACCTAATAAAATATTTTGCTTTGTTTGTGCATTTATTCCGTTTAAATTGACCTACAATAATCGTCATATTGGATAAAATAATTCAATCTGAGTCGTTCAGTGATTACTGAGTGAGGCAGCGCGAGTACATTCCTAGCTTGATGGGCTCCCAGGACATGTCACAATGCTGCCGATGGGGTTTTGATGAAGACCAACTGTTCGAAGTCTTCTTCTCGGGCTTTTTGAATACAGCCTGGGTGTAGTTCGAGATGGCTCCTTTGACTAGGTCGCACACTATGACGAATGAATGGATCAATTTGTGCATTTATTGCGTTTAAACTGTCCTACAATAATCATTACACTGAATAAAATCATTCAGTTTGAGTTGTTCGTTGATTTCTGAGAATAATTTCTAATTTCACTTTGACATTTTGATTTTGCATGATTAATCCAAAGACGCGATCGCCGAACTTCGAACATTTCTCGACAAATCGGATCGGGCGCGAATTTAAAAATACTATTTTTGAAAAATACTGGCCGATAGCCCTCTTCGACCTCCACAAAGGCATCACTCAATAATATCTTTAAAGTGATCTGGGGAGATATTATAGAATAAAAACCAATTTGCCATGTTAATTCCCTATGTCCAGACTTGGATGCCGCAGCCGGTATACGTCCAAGTTTGGAATATCCAGATGTTGTATAGCGGGAGTTCCTATTAAAAAGATTTTGTGCTGTAAAACACCAAATTGTTACCTTTGGAGAAGACTCATTATCGACTATCCAGCGATCGCCGGGGGCCCTGAGCTTTTAGGGGCCCTAACGGATCCCTTAAAAAATAATTTTATGATTTAAATTTAGTGTAATTTTTTAAATTTAAAAAATATGTAAATTAGGAATATACATAGAAGTATTTCTTATAGAATTGCGATCAAAAACTTAAAGATATTTTAAAGAAAGTGTAAAAATTAGAGACATTTTTAATTTCTGGGAAACCTAACGTAAAGTAACAAAATTTTCGAGAGAAAGTTTAAAAGAATAATAGGGAGCTCAAATTTATTCATTTTATTTAAATTTCATAAAGGACCCAGAAAAGTGCTATTTTCTTAATTAATTATTATTATTAACTGGAAAACAGATAGAGATCCGTTATCTTCAATATCACGCAAAATTGTCTTTACAGGTTTTATAGCCTTTGGATGTTGTCCACGTCCATTTCTCTAACTTTCTGGTAGATTCTTCTTCTTAATTGTTCTTCTAAATTGGCATCCCAGCCGTTATTGTAAACCTTTCTACTTAGTATTGCCCAAATTTTGTTTTCGATTATTCGTACTGGGAGCACATTGGGCGGATTATCTTTTCTTAGGTACAAAATTTATATTATTTCTTTCTGACCAATCCCTGGACATTCTGGCATAATTGTAGCTTGCGAAATCTGGCCAAAATGTTACATCGTCGTTATTATGATGGTACCTTATAAAATGTAGTCATTTTGGTAGGCTTCGTTGTTTATTGACCGCTTCACCTCTAACATGTCCAATAAATGGTGCTGAAACCTTAGATCATATAACAAATAGATACCAATACTCAAACTAAAAGTTGTGCCTAGACATGAAGCTATTTGTTGTCGTTTTCTACGTCAAGGGGAGTAGTATAATGCTATCCTTGTGTGATCACCACATCTTTTATCTTTGTTAAATGCATTTCATCTGTATATGTCTATTTCACTTCCATCCTTGTACCGCACCAGTGCAACAAATCGCTTTTGACAGATGTTTCTTCTAACCTCTTTCGAGTTTTTGTACGAAAAACAATTTTAGAATTTAGAACAAAGATCCTATTTTAAGTGATGTAATCATAACGGATCCCAATTGCTGCCCAATAATTTACTATTCCTTTTGTTATCTACTGTGAATTATTTGTAAAATCAAGTTGTCAACATCTTTCGTGCGAAGTTAGTTCAGACATACTTCCTAAAATTTGAGCGCGCAAAATTCAAATAGTGATCAGGCAAGGATAGCTTCATTGTAATCCCTGCATGCACAAGAGAGATGTGTGACAGGAGGATGTCGTCACATGCTCTCCTAGGGAAAAAACACGGCGTGGTGGTATCTATTTATTATATGATCTAAGGCTGAAACGCCACCCGGAAATAATAGCGTACCAAATCAAAATTTATCTTCAAACTTAGTCTTCTACTTATATTTTACATTATTTGTAATTTCTTCTATATTATCTGTATAAAATCCATTGTTACCTTCCATCTCTGAATTGGCAAACGTAAAATATTTTTCATCGCCCAGCACAACCACACTAGTCCAGAAAATGATAAATTCTCAATACCTGGCAACATCTGAGAATTCTCCTTAACTGTGATGGTGTATGTTTTGGCCATTTAGCCTTTTTGCTAAATTTTGAGTTGTTTTTGTCTATTTCTCTAGAAACTGTTATATGGGAACTCTAAACAGTCGACCCAATCTTCTTGTTGATGTTCCAGTCTCTTGACTTTAGCAATTCTTCTTAATATTTCTAAACTTATTTCAGTGAAAATTCGTGGCCGGTCACTTTTTGGCAAATTAATACCAGGTGATATTGCTACCTCGCAGCCTTTAATTGTTCTGTATATAGTTGCCAGTACAATATTTTTGGTCGCAAATATATTCATAATTTCACTTTTAGGTACTTTGGTCACTAACTGATATATGGCCCTTTGAAATTCTATTTTTTAAGACATTGTTTAAGCACTAATTGACATAAATTGCATAAAATGGGAAACAAGAAAAACTTGGTTACGCTGCTGCAAATGTAACTTGATTCGATTGAATTTTAAGAAAAAAAAAAATATTTGTAATTTTTCTCAAAACTTTTTTCGGTACTAGCGGTGAAAGTGACTTAAAATTGGGGAATCTTAGTAAAAACAAAGACGACTACAGTTACGACTAATATAGTTAAGTGCTTGTATTTAGGAAAGTTTTAATTGTATTGATAGATTCAATTCTTAGATGGAAATAAGGATATAGACGTGAATATTCAAGAAAAATAAGTAGAATTTGAAAATATAAATGATCATAATGTTTCCAATGGCACTACCTTATTTATATAGCTAAGTCCCAATGTATCCTTGAATGCTAAAATATCTATCCACCAATTACCATTTGACTCCAGAAAAATTTTGGTAGAAAAATTTAACCGAAAATGGGTTTCATATTCTGTTGGTTTTGAAAAAAACATGTTGTTGCAATTGTCTGATATTTGCTGAAAGAACAGAATGAGGATCATCTTTGACAAAAATGGACCTAAACACTACATCGGCTGCACTAAGAAGCACTTTTGGTACTAATAATAGGAGTATTAATTTTACCTAATTTTATTATAAAAATATTGTTTTCTCTAAAAATTTATTTGAGTTTTTGAAACGAGTACCATTCGAAGGGGCCCAAAATATTTTTCGCAGGGGGTCCTGAAATATGCCAGGCCGACGCTGACAAGACTTGACATTGGTATATAATATAGTTACAATCAAAATATGGACAGTCTCAAAATTCTCAACTGCGAGTGCATGTTTACAAACTAAAAAACTAACAATTAGAACTATTATCCCACGATTTTTGTTTCCCAACAGGGTGTTTGACGCATGGAATACTTAATTTAAATAGCGAAATTATAAATAAAGTGTTAACATGTTTAAAACAATTTGGACCCATAGTTCCATTAGTGGAAATCTTTATTGACAGAGTATAATAGATCTCTGACCTCTACACCCCTTCATATTTTTCTAATAATAATAATAATAATGTTAACCTTTTGAGAACTTGATGTTTTTGGTTTTATTTCTGAGTCTAATAAAATTATGCAAACGAGAGTTTCAGCACTTTTATTTAATTTCTCATATTTTAAATGTTTTCTAGTCCCATCGCATTTACGATATTTTATTTTTTACTTCGCATCTCTCTTATTCCATCATTAAAGTCTCCAACACTACGATGTTACAGAGATTTCGTCTAAAAATATATTCCAACACCATATGAATTATTCTCACTATAAATCTTCCTACCCACTTAATGCAGTAGCAGCAGTACATTTTCTTGTTTAATAATTCGGTTTCCTTTGTTAAGAATAATATCGCTCAAAGTCCATTAGAGATCTCTTTCTATGTTGCATCGTTTTCTATATATATATATATTCAAATCTTCATAATTTATTGGAAAACAAATCTTAATTGTATATAGTAAAAGTTAAACTATGAATTATAAGATTTATTTTGATTACTCACATAGGAATGAATTTTCACTAAATATTTTATTAGCTATTAATAATTTAAATTTAAGGAAGTATATTTTTGTGAAATTGTCAACTTAGTTTACTCAAAATGTGATCTGTTTTTTATACTTGTGAGTTTCAATGGATAACGCTGATGTTATTTATTTATTTAATATGTTTGAGATGTTTTTAAAGTAATAAGGAGAATATGGTAACCAGGAAAAAAATTGGCAGACAACAAATCTGCTCTTTCTAATGACTATAATATTTAATTTCGTGCTCTTACTTTTGTA